GAGTAAAATATACATTACACAATGCATGTCTCATATGTAAAAGTAAACACTTTTTAAATTGAATTCCTAATTCTCGAGCTAAATATGATGTTTCTATTTCATCTTTTTATTGTCTTGTCGTCGATATAACTTCTAATATTTTGTATTTGTTTTACTTTGTTAGAAAAGGAAACAAAATTTGACACGGTATTTTATTATTCATATTATTTGCGTGTATTCTTCTATATTCTCTCTCTCTCTCTCTCTCTCTCTCGCCCCCCACTGTCCCCCAATAATAACGATTTTTAAACTCTTATGTGTATTATAAAATCCTTTCATGTGTTTGTCATATAACCTTTGTTACTTTTTCCATATTATATACACAATTAATAATTGCGTTAAAATTATGTCTATTAATAAACTATTTTTTATATATTTTACAGAAAGACGACAAAAGAAATTTCTTTTCATTACGATGACGATAACTTATTAATCTGACAACTTGCAAGGCAACGCATTTCTCATCATCTCTTCATTAATATGCCATAAAAAAATTATTTCAGCACATATTCAAACAAACAATTATATAACAATTATATAATTTTTCATAATTTAATATAACTTTTAGATTTTGACATATTACAATCTATATATACTGACATATTACTATCTATATATGTGTGTATATATATATATATATATATATAATGTGTGTGTAATATATGTATATATATGTATATATACATATATATTATATATAGTATAATATGTAGTATAAATAATCTTTTAAAGTTAATAAATTTTTCAAAAAATAATAACTTAAAAGATAAAATTTAATCAATATTAATAGATCATATTTATTAAACTATTATTTAAAATTTGTATAAAATATAATTCATTAATCACTGAAGCGTTTATTAATTGATAAAGAATTTTTATTATAATTGTACACAATGAAATTTAGAATACAAAATTATACATACAATATTATACATACAATATTTATACATACAATATTTCTAAAATTGAAATTCAATATTTTGTTAAAACATAAAATAATTTTCAAGCTTATTTAAATTGGAATTACTCGTCCAATATAAAATTTAATAAATTACAAGTTTTTTATCATTTAAATACTAGTACTAATACTGTTTTCGCTGCTCATGTATCATTTACACATGCATTTTAATGTAAGACACTAATTATTCCCTGGAATTTATATGAAAAGATTTAAAAAATTATAAAATTTAAAATATAAAACTTTTTGCAAAATTTATTTCGAACAATACAGAAACACATGAAATAACGTATGTTTGTTGGATCAGAAAAACATCATATGTATTATTTCATGTGCAATATATATCTACAGTCTTGTTTTATAACATTATATCATAAAATCAGTCATGTTAAGCGGATCGAAAATTTCTCTATTTTCAAAAATAAAAACTTGTTCATGTCATCTTTTATTCTAGTTTTATTCCAACAATAGATACATCCTTTTTGGATCATCAATTTTATTGGCTGAAGCTGCAGCACAGACGAAAAATTGGGACATATATCACAGAGAAAATTTTTATGTTTCTCCTGTCATATAACCGATTTTAATATTGACTTGGATAAATTAGTAGATAAGAAATTTTTATATGATGTTAATTTATTCAGTATTGCTTTAGAATAATAATGATAAGAATAATAATCATAATAATAAATCTTTGAAAGTAAGATAATGATATTGGCATTTATAATAAGAATGTAAAAACGCGCCTAATGAAGATTTCTGATTATTATTTATTCTGTAGCGCAAACAAACTATTTGTGTAAACAATAGTTCTTTTTGTGCGTTTACTTTTTGTTTCGCGCTTTCGAGCTATCCTACATTTTTCAGCATTTTCATGCCTAGCAGGTGTGCAGTAAACGCCATAGGGCTGCTCACGACGAGATATTCGGCGAGCGCAACTGCGTTTCGCTATGCAGCGGCTGACTATCGAACGAGTTTGCTACTGAAAGGCCAACTTTACCCCACCGCCAGACTATAAAGTGCCCTATCTACTGCGAGACTATACGAGATATAGATCCTTGCCCGAAATTCAAATTTCCGATGCTGCCAGCACGCCGGTGTCCATAATCTCGATTAAAGAGCCAGGGTGTCTCAATCTCAACCTACTTCATTTCTGTTCTGATTTGAAATTGCATCTCACAAACGCGAGACTTTCCGCTAATAAAAGTATATGAGAAAAAAATTATTTTAAGAGAGCTATTTTTATTTGCAACTTCAATGTTTTATATTTTACAACAAAAATGCATTACCCCCGACGCCTGAGATCTTCCTCGACACCCCGTATAACGGACTGCAGATTTCCGCGTGTAGTTTGGCCGGGTGAATATAACTAAGCTGTTTCCCATGACTGCGCGATTAAAGCAATTTCGACATACTCAAATTGTGATGCGCCGGCAAAATCACGCGAGTAATTCCAACAATGGTCCGCAATTTATTTCATAACTCAGTATCAAACATATTCGATAATGTTAACAAAAAGTGAAGTTGCCAAGATTACAACTGTATACACATTCGTCCCAATATTTATCTCCGTCTTTCAGCACTATAATTTCT